GTTTTTTCAAATCTTTTACTTATTATTTAATCAGATTAAGGTATAACTGTGTAAACTGACCACCCAAGGTACTGTAACAAACTGGACAACATATAGAGGTGGTCGGCATAAGGAAGTAGACCTGCTGTACTGAGTACATTATTTTCTTGGACAGCTTTTTTGAAAGATTATATATAATCAAAACACAGTAAAATCTACATTGGAGTATCATAAAAATCAATACGTTTACAGTTTTCTCATGGTTTTAATCATTTTTTCTGAAAAAAAGAGTCAATCTTGGTCTGTTTCTTATTCTCATTATAAATTAAGTGCAGAAAGCACTCTCATCACTGGCTATACTGCTCAGCATACCTGGGTATTTTCCACAGCAAATGGCTTCAATTGCTTTATTGTGGACTTGTGACATCCTCCTTTTGGAGTTTCTGAAATTTCTGTGTCATCCTCACTTCTTCCACTTCATCAGCTGCTTTTATTGGTTTGTACTTCAGACAGCATTGCTTGGAAGATTGCTTGTGGGCCAGATTCATTACAGGTTGCCACCTGATCATCCATTGCAGCAAAACCTTCAAATTCTACTCCTTTGAATTCTTCTGTGGAAGATAGATTGTCTGATGGGACCAAAACATCATGCTCTTGGGTTGTGACAAATTTAGCTTTCTTGAAACATTTCTGTGTTGTTTCTGGCTGAATTTTATTCCAAACATAACTGATCTGGAGGACAGCATTCAGAGTGTTAACAGATGAACTTTCTTCCATAGGCAGAACACAGACTTGAGTTTTAGAAAAACCCACTGCAAGAACAGGGCTCAGTAGTGCATTTTAAATGTTTTGATGATGCCTTGGTCAAGGTATTTGTTTGGATTTTGGAGGCAGAAATTTCATTGTCATGTTTGTGAGATTATTTGCTTTCAGATGGCCAAGACACCAAGTGATAGGAGGTCTTCAGGCTTCAGGTTCTTGAACGCACATGGCTCTGCCAATTTACCAATTACCAAAGGCTTTAGTTTCTCTCTGGTTGAGCTAGAACAAAGCAGAACTGTAAAATGTTCTTTGAAAAGTTTTCTGCGCTTTTATCTGTCACCCTCATGACAATGCTCCTGTCAGGCATCCCCTTGAAAAAGAGTCCATCC